AGATGTGGACGAGGCTCTTCTTAATGAAGGAGTAGCTACTAACACATGGTCGGTAAACTATCCTACTTATGATGTCGAGTATGCGGATGACACCCTACTTCTAGGCTTGACCACACCGCAATTGGAAAAGATGTTGCAGCAAGTGGAAAAGGAAGCTTCTCTCTACGGCATGTCATTAAATTCGTCTAAAACTGAGATTCTTTACAGGGCGTCCGTCCCAGCCCCGAAGCTTAAGTTCCTAGATGGCACGCCTGTCCCGACCACAACGCAAGTCAAATACCTAGGCACCATGGTTTCCTGGGAACACTCCTTTTCCGTAGCTTTTAAGCACAGGGCTGCACTTGCAGAACAGGCTTATAAAAAACTAAGGTTATTATGGAATAGCTCCCTTCCGCAGAAAGTAAAGCTGCGCATATTTCAAGCTACCTTCCCCGCAGTTCTTACGTACGGTTTAGATGCTTTCACGCTCGACCATACAGCATTGCAGAGGATAGACGGATGTTACTATCGATTTCTCCGCAGAATAGTTAACATCCCAGCAACCTATATCTCCAGGATTCCCAATAGCGTGGTTTATGTCAAAGCAAACAAACCACAACTCCCCTCAGAAACCTTGAGAAATCTCCAGCTCAAGCTCCTAACTGACGTATTTGTTGCCCCAATAACTGATCCCATTCATAACGTCGTCTTATCCGCGGCTTTCAGGGATAGAATCATTACTAAGGGTCGAAAAAGAGGCAGGGGTTCTGGATGGTTAGAGGTCACTACGAAGAGAGAATTTCCTGATGTCTGGAAGTCGGACCACACCGCCAGATTCCCTCATCATCAGTATATAGGCATCAAGCGAAAGCTCAGCACTCTTTCTTCAGGGCAAGCGCCAAAGTGCGCCAGACCACAGCGCACACGGCACTAGCAAAAATATATCGAAGCTTTGTCTGAGATGAAAGGTGTTGTACTTCAGCATGCCAGACATCGTGTCGTGAGAGTAACATGCTGCCAGTCACACAAGAGCGTTAACATATAGGCGATATTCTTTCTTATGAACAGGAAGCTTGGTCACAGCAAGAATACAATATCCGTGTGACATCTTTTGAACCTTATCGCAATACGCGATACAAGAGCTTCAAAATTATAAGACTGAGGACACGGCTTTGTTCACCGATAGACCCCGTGCATATGATTACGCACAACGTCAGCACCAACGGTAGTAGTAAAATATTTGTGTTATGTTCGCGAAGCTACTATTGCGTTGTGCCGTGTCTTGCACCATTCAAGCTAAACATACAATATATGAACCCTTAGCCTACACATAAAACAATAAATATTTGATGAAAGGACCACACAAGCTGTATCTATGATTTCAACCATATGTCTTATTGTGTACGATTTCGGATATAGTCCGGTCATACGTTCGGTGCTCCGATATGTTGTCGCGCTATGCTGTATACCAATCAAGTTGTAAAATCCAACATATGAGCTTATGAACCTACAGATAGAACACTAAAGACTTGGTGAACGGAACACAAGAAAAGGGTACCTGTGACTATACTTTACATATTATATTGTTTACGATTTGGGAAATCATATTATCCTACGTTTTATACCCGGATATGATACTGTACTATGACGTGAAACACACTACCATTGTGAAATACAACGTGTAAACCTATAAACCAACAGATATAACACTCAACGCTTGATGAAAGCAACACGACTCGGCATCTATGACTATCGTTTGTATGATTTATTTGTATTTTTTCGAGTATGATATTGCGCATGTTTTATAGCATGTAAAGCCACACAAACGATATTTATGACTATATTCCTATATTGCATTGTTTACGGTTTCGAGTATGATATTGTCGTACACTTTATACCGCTCATATCACAACATACAACACAAAGAGTCGTTCGATAGCACCAAATTTTCAGAAACCAATTTTCCGAAAATTTGGTGCTATCGAACAGCTTGTTTTTCATCGCTACATGAAAGCAAGGCGGTTCGATCGCACCAAATTTTCAGAGACATATTTTTCGAGAATTTGGTGCTATCGAACCGCTTGTTTTTCATCACTGCATGAAGTAAGGCGGTTCGATAGAACCGAATTTTCAGAAACCAATTTTCGGAAATTTTGGTGCTATCGAACCGCGTGTTTTTCATCACTACATGAAAGCAAGGCGGTTCGATCGCACCGAGTTTTCAGAAACCTATTTTCGGAAAATTTGGTGCTATCAAACCGCGGGTTTTTCATCACTACATGAAAGCAAGTGCTATCGAACCGCGTGTTTTTCATCACTCATGAAAGCAAGGGCGGTTCGATCGCACCAAATTTTCAGAAACCTATTTTCAGAAAATTTTGTGCTATTGAACCGCTGTGTTTTTCATCGGTACATGAAAGCAAGGCGGTTCGATAGCACCAAATTTTCAGAAACCTATTTTCGGAAAATTTGATGCTATCGAACCGCTTGTTTTTCATCATTGCATGAAGTAAGGCGGTTCAGTGGGACCAAATTTTCAGAAAACTATCTTCGGAAAACTTAGTGCTATCGAACCGCGTGTTTTTCATCACTACAGTGGTGTGGTGGGGTGGGGTGGGGTGGGGTGGGGTGGGGCGGGGCGGGGCGGGGCGGGGCGGGGTGGGGTGGGGTGGGGTGGGGTGGGCCCAAGTTATGCAGGGATGTCGCTGCCCTCCCAAAGTTGCCAAGGATGTCCTGTTGATCCATTCCGGATGTTCCTATCTACACCCGAAACCCTAAACCCTGAACTTCACAGTCAGCACGCAGCAGATCTGTAAATCTTTAGTCATATACGTATACTCATCGATTCATAGATGTGGCCCCATTTACCTTGGTTGTCCCTTCAGATGGTCCACATATGTACTCATGTGCCGCTATTCACCAACATAGATGTGTGATAGGCAGGTATATAGAGACACATATACAAGTACTTGTAGGCCTTGAATATGGTTACATACAATACAATATATTATATATGCTCCCACGACAGCAGTGGTTCCATGTGAAGAGCTTTTCATGTGTGTATACGCCGACGGATTCCACTAGTTTTGGCTGTATGGAAGTACAGTATAAACTACAAAAGGGGCGGCTCATTTAACTGGTATCAAAATCTCCGCATGTGCTATACTTCCATATATGCTTTTCTGTATATCTTCTTAGTCAGTATGCAGCATGTGTGTAGAACCGGCTTTCGTCATATGTGTACCCAATTATTTCAGGTGTCCCTTTGTATCCTGATTGTTCTTGCAGGTGCTTCCACCTATGTAAATTTGTGCGTCACTGTCGCTACTCCCCAAGATAGATAGGCAGGTAAAACCAGATGTACATATAGAGATAAATGTATACATTCAGTCTCAAAGTTCACAATAGTGCATGCAATTAAATGACTATACCAATATATGGTTACGTACAATATTACATGTTGTGTATGCTCCCATGACAGCTCTGATTCCACATGCACATGATGAGTTATTCATGTGTGTATACATCGACGGCTTTTTTTGGCCATGTAGAAAGTATGTACTGTATAACATAAGGCAGTTCATGCACTTGGTGTCAAATTTTCCTTGTGCAAGCATGCGCAGCAGTCTCAGTACTCTCAAACGCAGACAGACACAGACATAGATACCTTAATATGGGTCTTTTGATACAGCTTGCTTCACGTTGCAAATGTACATAGGCTACACGGCTTCACATACGGATCTGCTGATGTCTGCCCATATAGAACCTTGCGGATCTTATGTGTGTAGATGATGGAATTGCACTGGCTTGTATCTACACCAACAGCATGCAGCAGTTTGGCTGCAATCGAAATAGATGCTGTCAAAACACATGACCGCAGGCATGAACATAACGAAAAGATTTGTCCTATCTTGCCGCTTTGCAACTGATGTTTTGTTGCTGCTGTGTATTACAGGCACATGATGGACAAGACTGCATCAGCAAATGCAATGCTGCTACGGTAAAAATCCAAACAAACTAGCAATACTAACAGGCAACTATAGGGGAAAACAGAACCCTTACTATAGAAAACCTACAAGACGGCCTTAGATAAGGAGCCCTCAGAAGAAACCCTTGTTCAAAAAAGCCGTCAACCCAAAACCCTAAACTCCAAACCCTAAACCCTACACCCTAAGCCACCTTGACCCTAAGCCCTGAACAAGTGAAGCGGACCTGGTCAGAGGTCCAGGGGTTGTCCAGCATGGCAAACTCCACCACCAAGAGCATTGACATCTGAAGCGCCTCAGCAAAGTGGGCTTGGGGCTTAGGGCTTAGGGCTTAGGGTTTAGGCGTTCAGGGTTTCGGGTTTAGGATTTTGGCTTCTGGTATTAACGCTTCTATGCTATTTTTCAAAGGGTCTTTTCAGGATACCTGCAATGGCTTGGGATTTATAGTGTGTTTAGCGTTTTGGGGGGGGGGTGTTCTGCTTGCGAGTTCCTTTAAGGATTCCGTTCCAGGGTTCTTTTCATGGTTCGTTTAAGGGTTTAGGGTTTAGGGTTCTTACAGGGGTTCCGTTAACGATTCCTTTAAGGGTTCTGATGCCGCGAATCCTTTCAGGGTTCTTATAGGGATTCCCTTAACGATTCCTTTGCGGGTTGTTGTAAGAACGATTCCTTCACGAGTTCTTTTGGGGGTTCCGTTAAGGGTTCCTGTTCTTGCAGGGCTTACTAATAAAGGCTTTTCTTCAGGGTGCTACAAGAGTTTTGGGGTTTTGGATTTAAGGCTCTTTGGCATGGCGGTTTGGACTTTGGAGGTTTGCCTGCTAAAGTTCAGGGCTACTACCCTAAACCCAAAGCCCTAAACCGTGTTCAGCCACGTGGCCAAGTTTAAGAGCACACCAATGAATAGCAAGAACTTGTCCAGGGCGCCGGTGTGATGAAAGCCTCTGCAGTCGCTCCGGTGGTGACATGAAGGCAGGGGCTTGGGCTTAGAGTTGAAGGGTGTTTTTGGCTTTATGGTTCTGTTCCGGCTCTTGGTCTCTAAGTGGCCTTAAATCCTAAACCCTTAACCCTAAACCCTAAACCCTAAACCCCTGAAACCCTAAACCCTAAACCCTAAACCCTAAACCCTAGTCTAGGCCCTATAAGCCCTAAACCCACCCCCCACGTCGGATGGGATTCTGTGTCAAGGCCTCCGGCTGTTCGGCTTCTCCTGGCATTTAGGGGTTAGGGCTTAGGGCATTGGGTTTAGGGTTTAAGCTGAAGAAGAAGAAGAAGATTTGGGCCTAAGGTTTAAGTTGCAGAAGAAGAAGAAGCCCTTCCTAAAGCCCCGCATACCCGTGACCCCGAGCCCAGAACGCCTCCGAATTAAGTCATGCTCCTTAGATCTAGCAGACCCTAAACCGTGCACCCTAGACCAAAAACAACCCGTGGAGACAGGAAGCAAAGTAGGAGGCCAGCATCCCACATGGACTGGTCAAACTCGTAGAGAGCAACCTCAGCCAGCTTTTTGGACTTGCCGGGTTTGTTTAGGGTTTAGGGCTTAGGGGTTTAGCCCGTTCAACTGGTTTAGGGTTTAGGGTTTAGAGCCAACCCCAAGCCCTAGGCCCCTTAAGCTGTGCCGTCGGATGTTTGGGTGCTCGGCGCCTCACGGATTCAGGGACTTCTGCGGTGGAGTTTACGGGCCGAAGGACTTCAAAGTTTAGGGTTTAGGAGTTTCGGGGTTAGGGTTTAGGGTCCAGGGTTTGGAGTTCAAGGTGTAGGTTTAGGGTTTAGGGCTTAGGGTTTACAGTTTAGGGTTTCGGGTTTAGGGCTTAGGGTTTAGGGTTGAGGGTGTAGGTAGAGCTTGGGGTTTAGAGTTTAGGGCTTGGGGTTTAGGGTTTAGGGTTTAAGGTCTAGGTAGACCCCAACACGGTTGTTTTTGTTGCCGCAGCGCGGGTTGGGAGTGACCTTTTCGGTTGGAGCACCAAAGGCATTAAGACCGAATGGTTATTTACATGTAGGGTTCAGAGTTTTAAGCTTCCTAGCTACAAGGATGTACGGTTCCGGGTATAGGGACGAGGACAACGCTCGGTTGCACGGAGACCCTAAACTCTAAACCCGAAGCCCTAAACCCTACAGCCTGAACACTACACCCGTACCGAATATCGACACCTGAACGGACAAAGCTTCAAGCCCGAACTTCGTCATTGCCGATGCTCAGAGCCTCCGTCTGTCAAAGCTGGGGTTTAGTGTTTAGGGTTCAAACATTCATTAATGTAGGGTCCTTGTTAATTAGAATAAGGTTTTGGGGCCCAGTATACTATACTTATAAGAAGGAACCTCCAAAATAGTATAATTAGTTAATTATTTAAGCCCTATATTAAGCCCAAGACTTGCACCGGGTCACGTGGATCTTGTGGTCGGCGCCGGCATCGACGATAGAAGCGCGCTTCGGTTTCAAGACCACCTCTTCCTGTGGGCCACGTGGTTTAGGGTTTATGGTCATTGGGTGCATCCTCGCACGTGCGCGAGCGCTGGGAGCCGAGGTGCGCGGATCCGTTGGGGCTGGAGCTTGAGCTCAAGGTTGAGGGTTTAGGGCTCTGAACAAAAAAAGTAATTAAATCAGAACAAGGAACCCTGAAAAACTAGGTCCCTGTAAACTACGGTCCATGATATAAATCCTGCAGTACCATAATAAGGAATATACCATAATTCCCAAAGTTTAGGGTCCTCAAGGTAATGCAGGATTTATATCATCAACAGAAGGTCTCTTAGGGCTAGCGTTGAGGCCTAGTTTCAGACGACGGAACAGAAGTGAGCTTTGGGGTATAGCCATGCTGTTATGGTTCTGCCAACAGGACTGGCAGCATTCATTACTCCCCAAACCCTTAACCCTAAACCCTAAAAGCCCTAAACCCCTAAACCCTAAACCCTAAACCCTACCTATATTAGGACCTACGGCTTGGGAGCTTACCGAAGCTTGGAGCAGAAAAAGTGGCTTTGCTGCTGCCCCCTTGGCGGCTTTTTTCTCTTAAAGGACCAGCGGACTTAGTAAGGGGTTTAGGGTTTAGGGGTTTAGGATTTAGGGTTTAAGGTTTGGGGTTTAGGGTTTAGGGGGGCTGTAATTTGAGTAATTACACTTCAGATTACTCATATAACACTTGCTCCCAAGAAATATGCCAAAACCCTCAACCCCAAACCAAAACCGCTCAACTCCAGAATCCCTAAACCCTAAGGACTTTAGGAGGGACCCCTAGTAGGGACCCTTAATCCCATTACCTGAAACAACCATTGTATGGTCCTTATATACCCCTTACAGTATATAGCTCCCTCCTAAAGCCCTTAGATAAACCCTAAACCCTGAACCCTACACCCTAAACCACTATTGGACCCTGTCCTCCCCTTCTGCATCTGGCGCCACTGCCACTTTGTAAGTGTCAGCCACATCCTCCCAGAGGCGGGTTTGGGGTTTAGGGTTTAGGGTTTCGGGACCCGGCTTGGCAAGAGAGGTTTAGAGTTCTAGCGACCAACAATCATGTTGCCAAGGAGCCTGGAACCCTAAACCCTAAACCCCAAACCCTGAACCGTAACATCAACCAGGCAAGAAGAGCCTTGCATGCTGCAAGGCTGTAGGGCTTGAGGCTCACCTTCGTCCTTACTTCCAGGTTTAGGCTACCCAGACCCCCAAAAGGATCTAAAAAATAGATCCCCTAATTAAGGACCCTAACTACTAAAGGGTACTTTATAGGAACCCACTTAGGGGATCTATTTTGTAGATCCTTTTGGGAGTCTGGGTAGTGCTGTCGGAACACATCCCGCCATGGCAATGGTTCTGATCTCATGCGCGTGGCGAAACTTGCGCAATATGCCACAGTGAGAATGACCCGTTCCTGATGTCGGTTCCAAGGAAGTGCTTTAAGGGAAATAGCACCCTAAACAAACACTTATTGGTCTCCAGCTGCAGGACGGAATTTCAGATCGAGGACGAGAACCTCACGCACGAGCTTGCAAGGAGGACCGGCGCTGGTGAGTGCACGATACATGCGGCTAGGGCATGGCTAGGGCATGGCTAGGGCGTGGGATCGGGATTTGTACCAGGGGCATGCTGCACTGGCTTTGCGATGACTTTATGCTGGTGTTCCAACACTTTTGCATGCTTTTCCCTAAACCCTAAACCCTAAACCCTAAACCCTAAACCCTAAACCCCACTTTTGCATGCTTTTCCTGCGTTTTGAAATTGCTTGCCCCTCAACCCACCAGCCTCGCCCCACAACCTCATTCATGCTTTGCCTGAATGATTAGAGTAGGGTTTTGGGGGTAACTTATACCAAACTTGTAATAAGGAATCCTAAGGAATCTATTGGTAACTCTATTTCGGCTTCTACATTACATTCTAGCACTGGTTGGTGAAATCCCAGCTTCGAAATGCAGTGGTCCAGAGCTGGTCCTGCACAACTCTTGGCACAACTGGCCCATTCGCCTCAGATCTTCTTTGCCCCTAAACCCTAAGGGTTTAGGGTTTAGGGTTTAGGACCCTGAACCCTAAACCCTAAACCAAAGAAAGGAAAACAGACGGACACCTTGGCATGGCATGCTCTTTTGCCGCCCATGTTCAGCGCCATCATCACCATCGTTGTGGTCGTCTTCATCAATACTGTCGTCTTACACCGCAACCGCCACCATCAAAACATGCTGCACGTGTGCAAAGATGCCAAACTCATTCACAACTGACACGGCCGCATTCCGAAATTGATCACGACCATGACTGTCTGCATTAGCCACAGCTGCCGAACAAAGCTGTGTCACAACAGGCAAGTTGCTGCCTTACTCTAGGGTGGTCTACACTGCCCTTCATTCCAACACGATTGCATGTACCAGGACTGACAATCACTTTGCCTTAATTAGCTCAGCAAACTTTCTACAAGGTACAACATGCTACAATACATGTCCTTACATCCCAAGACCGCAAACCAAAAACAGACAACACAGTGTGGTAGGTTGCGCCCTTGTCCAATCTACTATACACAGTATTGCACGCAAGTGCGGTACAACAGTGCACATTACACATCGTAATGCATGTTTCCTTTGGGTACACATTCTGCCTTCTAAGTATCTTGCAGCTTCATTGCAGATGCTTATCCCCAGGACCAACATGGGTAGTTGTCAAAATTATGGTTTGTTTGGGGGTACCCTAAATAATAGGTGCCGTATTATAATAAGGACCCCAAAAGAGACCATAATTTTGACAACCACCAACATGCAAACCTAGATGGTCCAGTCCTTACGAGGTAGATATGGAGGGTTTCTTCATTC